ATTTAGTTTGTGTGTGTTTTTTCTACCATACATGGATACATAGTGAGGAGGAGAGAGAGAAGAGAGAGAGGAGAGAGAGAGAGAGAGAGAGAGAGAGACAGACAGACAGACAGACAGACAGACAGAGACAGAGAAAGAGAGAGGGGGGTGATGGCATACACACACATCACTCAGATAAGCTAATGAAATTCAACATCCATGTCTTTCATACTGATTAATTAATGCACATCCATCGTTTATCGCAGGTAAACTTTTTGACAGAAACAATCTCAACACCTACCACTCCCCCTCCCCTTCCTTTCCCATCACCACCCCTCCCCCTGGTTCACCCACCTTCACAAGTGTTCGTTCTTTTGCAAGGAGCGAGAGAGAGAGAGAGAGAGAGAGAGAAGAGAGAGAGAGAGAGAGAGAGAGAGAGAGAGAGAGAGAGAGAGAGAGAGAGAGAGAGAGAGAGAGAGAGAGCGTGTGTGTGTGCATATGAGAGCGGAGAGGGAAGAGAAGAGAGAGAGAGAGAGAGAGAGAGAGAGAGAGAGAGAGAGAGAGAGAGAGAGAGAGAGAGAGAGAGAGAGAGAGAGAGAGAGAGAGGAGAGAGAGAGAGAGAGAGTGTGTAGTGAGAGGAGAGAGAGAAAGGGAAAGAGGAGAGAGAGAGAATAACATAGAGAGAGAGAGACATACATCTTATGTATCAGTTTGCTTTACAATTTTCTGATCGAAGATTATGGCTCGAATATTCTTTACTGCTTCAGTGATGATGCAGAGTCTAGATTATGATAATTTCGTTAATCGCTACATCTATGTTAATTTTAATCCACATAGCAAATGCAAGCACACACAATCAATCAAGCAAGAAATTAAACAAAAATAAACATCAAGCACATGAACACCACACACACACACACACAACACACAACCACACACACACACACACACACACACACCACACACACACATACACACACACCACAACACAACACACACAAAAACAACAAACACAACAAACAAAATACAATCAACCATTCCAAATCCACACCCACCCACCACTCCCCCCCCAAAAAAAATCAGAAAAAAACACCAGTAACTCCATCTCCCCCCCCCATTCACACCCCGCACCCCTCCCCCTCCCCCTAAAAATCAGAGAAAAACACACCTAGTAACTCCATCTCACTTCAAGGAATCGAATCTTACATAATACTGAAGCAGAAGCGTGAGCGACGAGACACAAAATACGTTCCTGTGATGTAAACAAACACGCGTCTATTGGCTTCTCTGCGGTCGTTTGTGGCTAAGCATCTGCAGGGCGAATGGCCGGTGGAGGTGTGGGTTGTGTGCGTGTGTGTTTGGGCGTGGGTGGGTGGGTGGGTGTGTTTGTGGGTGGGTGGGTGGGTGGGTTTGTTTGGACGTAGGTGGTTGGGTGAATGGTCGGGTGAGGTGTGGGTTGTGTGCGTGTGTGTTTGTGGGTGGGTGGGTGGGTGTGTTTTGTGGTGGGTGGGTGGGTGTGTTGTGGTGGGTGGGTGGGTGGGTGGGTGGTGGTGGGTGTGTTTGTGGGTGGAGTGGGTGATGGGTGGGTGGTTTGTGGTGTGGTGGGTGTGGTGTGGTGGGGTGGGTGGGTGGGTGGGGTGTGTTTGTGGGTGAGTGGGTGTGTTTTGTGGGTGGTGGGTGGTGTGGTGGTGGGTGGGGTGGGTGGGTGTGTTGTGGGTGGGTGGGTGTGTTTTGTGGGTGAGTGGGTGGGTGTGGGGTGGGTGGGTGGGTGGGGGTGCGGTGTGGGGTGGCTTAGGTGTGGTTGTGGTGGGTGGGTGTGGTGGGTGGTGTGGGTTGGTGGGTGCGCGTGGGTGGTGTGGGTGGTGTGTTTGGGGTGAGTGGGTGTGTTTGGTGGGTTGGTGGGTTGTGGTGGGTGGTGGGTGGGTGTGTTTGTGGTGAGTGGGTGGGTGGGTGTGTTGTGGGGGTGGTGTGGTTTGTGGGTGAGTGGGTGGTGTGTGTTTGGGTGGGTGGGTGGTGGGTTTGTTTGGACGTGGTGGGTGGGTGAATCGGCGAGTGGTGGGTGTGTCTGGGCGTTTGTGAGTGGGTGAGTGAATGGGTGGGTAGGTGGGTTTGTTTGGGACGTGGGTGGGTGAATGGGTGAGTGAGCGGGTGAATAGGCGTGTTTGAGGGTGGGTGGGTGTAGGGATTAATGGCTAGGCGTGTTTTTGGGTTTGTGGGTGGATGAGTGCGTTGAGTGAATAGAAGGGGTGATTGCAGAGGTGAAATGATGATGTGTGTTGTGGTGGTTGATGATGAATGAGTGGTTGGGTGGCGTGAGTGAATGGATGGGTGGTGAGTAAATAGGGGGGGGGGAGATGTAGGGGCATTGTCTGTGGTTGAGTGAATGGGTTGGGTGCGTGAGGGAATGGATGTGTGGGTGAGTAAATAGGGGGTGGTGATTGCAGGGGTAAGTGGATAGGTGTGTTGTGGATGGATGAGTGAATGGGTCGGTGTGTTTGTAGCTGGGTGAGTACAAGGGTGAATGGGTGAGTGTGTTTGTGGGTGAATGAGTGAATAGGGGGGGAGGTGTTTGTAGGTGGGTGAGCACAGGGGTGAATGGGTGGCTGTGTTTGTGAATGGATGTTTGAGAGGAAAAGAGAAAGTGAGATGGATGGATGGGGGGGGGGGTGAGGGAAGAAGGAGGTAGGAGAAAGGGGAGGAAGGTAGAGGGTGATAAGAGATAAAGGGAGATAAGGAGAGAGAGGAGAAGGGAAAGTAAGAGAGAAAGAGGGGAAGGGAGGGAGAGAAAACGTTGATATGGATGTATATATTCTCTCTCTCTCTATCTATCTCCCTCCCTTCCTACCTACTTACTTACTTCCTCTACCTACTACTTACATCCCTACCTACTAGCTCCTTCCCTCCCCTTTCTACATCCCTACTCCCCTAACCTACCTCCTCTTTCCTACCTACCTCCTCCCTCCTTTCCTACCTACATACCTTACCTCTCTCCTCCTCCCTCCTTCTCTCCTTCCCTCCTCCTTCCTCCCTCCCTCCTCCTTCTCTCCTCCTCCTCCTCCTTCTCGCCCTCCCTCCCTCCCACCTTCCTACCTACCCACCTATCCACCTCTACATTACGAAACGAGGTAAACCACACACACACACACACACACACACACACACACACACACACACACACACACACACACACACACACACACACAATCACTCGCCGATGAGAACGCACACGGGATGCGGCACCAGATAAGAATGTCGGCCATTTAACTTATCTCGCCAATCCGTTGATGTGGCAGATGGCGGGGAACCTGTCTCGCTTGACAACAGACCTCTCGTGTGTGTGTGTGTGTGTTTTATGTGTGTATGTGTGTGTGTGTGTGTGTGTGTGCGTGTGGGTGTGTACGTGTGTGTGCGTGTGCGTGTGTGTGTGTGCGTGCGTGTGTGTGTGTGTGTATACAGAGAGAGAGAAGAGAGATAGAGAAAGTTTATTTCTCTCTCTCTCTTCTCTCTCTCTCTCTCTCTCTCTCTCTCTCTATCTCTCTCTCTCTCTCTCTATATATATATATATATATATATATATATATATATATATATATATTATATATGTACATATATATGTCCATACTTATATGTATATACACATATGAATATATACATGTATATATACTAAGTTATATGTATAAGATATATCGTGAATAGAAGCACATTATTCCACGTTACACACACACACACACACATATATATATGTATGTATAATGTATGTGTGTGTGTGTACGTGTGTCTGTGTGCGAACGTATGCGTGTCTGTGTATGCGTGTATATATACGAGTTTCACAGTGCATATATTCTTAAGCCATGCAATCGTATGATTCATTCATTTATTCATCTCGAATTCAGAATAAGTGCTGTTAATTACCACTAAATAATCCGCTATGGCATGGCTCCTTCCTCTCAATTATTTTAATAACATTTAACAAGAAACTTCCACTCCTATGACCTCGTGGTATACAAACATGAGAAAAAAATGAATAAATACAGTAATAAAATACGTTAACGACTCAAAACAACTCGGGTTTTATTTTTTCCTTCCTGTAAACGTACCCACGATATAGTATTTATGTATTTAAAGAGAATATTTTTCAGAATTATCTTTTTGCAGTTATATATCCGGTAGCAACATCCGGCGGCAATTAGGAAAATGTAATGAAGTCTGGATGGCAACATTCTATGGTGACCGACCCAGTTGATGAAATAAATGCAATAATTTCATTTTGGTAAACCGTAATGTTAATATGTAAGCATATAGATGTCTAATTTCATTTTGGTAATCCGTAATGTAAATATGTATGCATATAGATGTCTTTATTTATTTGTTACGCATGTATATATTCCATTGTATGCGACCCTAATGTTTTTTGTATACTTCGTTTAAGCAAACCTAGCGAAATGTAAGGTTCCCTAATCTTGTTATATGGGATACAGCAATACAGTTCGTATTTTTAGGTCTTCTTTCACTGCCATATGTTGGCATGTGTTTTCTTGGATGGGAATATGAGGCCAAGAAATTATTCAATGTACACATATTTTTAAGGGGTGTTAACATGTAATGCGCACGGGAAATCATTTAAAAAAAAATTCATATTGATTTCTTTTCTGATCAAATTTGGCGTAACTTCTTTCCGTTTTGATATCAAGTGGCTATTATTTATTGTAAAGGTAATTTACACAGAAAACCTTGACATTTCAAAATTAATATTCATAAGTGACATATCACTAGGAGTGAATTTGTAAAATCAATGAAGTATTCTTACGGATGAGAAATGAAGTATAATCAAACTTTGCATTCTTATAGACAATTTAAACCTAATATGTAATAAGATATGTAAATAGATCAATACATGTATCCTAAATAAATACTAAAATTTGAGATATATGATAAATAGAAGCACCTTCCTCCACATTACCCAATCCTCGATGCAGCGTGTTTACAGTCTCGGAGCAACCGTGGACCGACAGTCACTCCCGAGGACCGTCTCAGGACAGCCGTTACTCTTATCACCCTCTGTGTCCCACATTACGTAACAATGTCTCTCGTAGTGGACGCGCTGATCCACTTCTGCAATGTCTCCACCATAGGCCTGTGCGGTTTCATGAAGGTGCCGCAGATAAATGCCATCATAAAAGCCAAATCTGTGAAAGGGTTGAGTTTAGCCAGCTTGATTTTAGAGCTTACAAGGTGAGAGGGTAACTGCAACTGCCTCGGTTTTTATCGAATTCGTTTTCCGTTATTATTCATCTCTTTGTTTATTTACCATCATGTGTGTTGGCTGCCTTTTACTAGACGTATATGTAGGGTATTTTAGATATCGGAGAAATTACGGTACATGTTTATTTATTAGGCTTGGTTACCTTGACGACGGTAGGCCTACCCGAATTGGCACATGGCAACATTTCAAAAAGTAAATGGTTTTAGATGTGGATGATCATGTCCAACGTGCCTAGGAATTATGG